TCTCGGACAATGGTCAGTCCCCGGGACAAACGGAAAAATCCTTGGGGCCAAGAAGCAGGCATGTCGCAAAACGGCTAGGCTTTGCGCTTGAATGAACGAATTTATATGCTACGAAAAGGACTTGTCAAGTTTGGATCTTAGAACACTGCGGTTTGCGGTTGACTGGAAGGTTCAAGGCCAATTGCCCAAAATGCGGCCTTACGAGTTGACATTTGCAAAGCCACAACCGCCAATTCATTCAGTCCGTTCCGCACTTCCTGACTCCCCCGCCCCCACCTCCACACTGCTAGGCACAGGGCACATTGTATGATACGGTAAGTAATAAATCCCCTGCCAGACACAACGCCCAACCCGCCTAATGACATGATTCCACCCCTATATTTGGTACTATGTTACCGTGGGTGGGTATGTGGGTGGGTGGGTGGGGGACTAATCACAGGGAACCTCTTGGCCCCCCTAGAAGATTTTAGACCTGGCTACGTTGTCCAATTTAACCTAGGTTTAGGGCTTAGGGGTATATTCAACCCGAAAACCACATAAACCCTAGACCCTACACCCTACCAGGCTGGAACCTCTCACTAGCTTAAGTGTTTTCAAACCTAGAACTACAGTCTCATTGCATGGTTGACGTACCTAAACTTTTCCTCCTGTCGGGCAGCAAAGATATTTATTCAACCCTAATCCTTCTCGCTCCCCTCACCAAAGACCTGACACCGCGAAGCCTACAAGCCATATAGTTCCCCTTAAGTAGATAGAATATGGCTTTGGGTATATTATAATAAGATCCCCATATACCCCATATTCTATCTACTTAAGGGGGACTATAAGCCCTGAATTCTACGCCCCTGTACTGCTGGGAGGGCTGCATTTGAGTACGCGACAAATCATTTGAGTAATGCTTTTTTTGTGGTTAAAGCCAGTATGATTATATTCCTTATATTAAAATACTATACCCCAAAAGGANNATAGTATCCCCAAATAAAATACAAATCATTTGGTGTAGGTCGTTCCCCCCCGTACAGTAAGAGTAACAATTACCACAGTAAGAAATCGGTAGCCCTAAACCCTAAAGTCTAAACCCTAAACCCTAAACCCCCTTGTTCTAGTCTCTCTAGGCGAAGGACAGAATCCGCTAGTCTAGCTAGTTAATAGGAGTTGTAATGGCCCCTTAAAGGTGGTTTGGGGCTTAGGGTTTAGGAATAGGTGATAGGAGTGAAAATGGCCCCTTAACATTAAAATCTCCCCGTAAGGACTGTTACTGTGGGGACTTCTCCAACAAGGGGGCAGCCCTACTATGTTACTATATTACTGTTATTCCTATATTTCTCTACTACTAAATTTTTGCATTACTATATTATTACATTAGTATAGTACTCTATTGTTAGTGTTCTTAGCACTATATTAGGGACATTTCTTGCGTAAAGGGCATTACAAGTGGATCATGGGGGGGTGGTCCAGCCCAATTTCAGGGCCCAGAGTGAACCAGGAAACCAGCAAGGAACCATAACGCGGTTTTAGAGTTCGGGGCCCACGGTTGCTTGGACTTCGGAGTACACCCCAGAAAAAAAATATAGGCTTTTTAGGTAACAAGTTGCTAAAATAAGAACCCAGGAACCAAAAAAGACTAAAGTGTACTACTCCAATTTTGGGTAGAGCGTATGTTGAACAACTCTTCAGCCAAGATAGGTTTTTTCTTGCGCGCTGTGCGCGGACGTCTTCTCTGCTGTTTTCCGGTCTGCCTCATGCGTTCACCACCTGGATAGAATATATAGGGTTATCGGCTATAGGGGTTATATAGGGATGTGTAGCGGACATATAAGGTATATAGGGATAATGGAGAAGAAAACACTATTTAGGGTTTGGGGTGTACCAGTTGTTCCTTTCTACTTTGGGATTTAATGTTGAAGGCTTGGAGTCGTATGGGGTTGAGGTTTTGGGGGATTGCGGCATGGGGTTTGGGAGTGTCTTAAACCTTCTCAAGCACATAGGCCCCCTTTTTGGCGCCCCCACGTGAAGAGTTGTTGGGGGGGAGTTTGTAGGCTGTTATTTGCAAACTCTACATGACTCCCTGGTGCTTGGTAGGGAATGGGCAGAATGGATTCCTATGGTGGCCCTATATAATTTATGGATTTAACTTCTCTAGTATCCCTCTTCATAACCCCTGCAATACTCCCCAATGTAATCCCCTGTAGAACCCTGCTTTCAGTGGAGTTTAGATTATGGGTCATATAATCCCCAGTAATAGTCCCACAATCCCTTACCCCCGTTCCCTACTAGGCAACAGCGAGGTCAGCAACGGCTTGATGTTGTACAGTCTGGTCGAAGTTTCCCTTCAGTGTCCAGACTCCTGCGGTTTAATGTTTGGGGATCTTAGTTTTTCTGGGGGTCTTATCAGCCCAATGGAAAGATGTCACTGTACTGGGACATCGCGTGTATGCATGGGAAGCCAGAGTGCTCTGTCAGCTTGGAAGCATCTTGTAGGATGTCTCTCAAGTTGCAATTGTTTGTAGTCCCCCTGAAGTAGATCCTGAAGTAGATAGAATAAGATCCCCATATACCCCCATTTTCTATCTACTTAAGGGGGACTATAATGGTTGTTGGAATACGGTCTGAGAAGGAGGAACAAGCCAAACCACAAAAAGTTCCACCTCCCCTCTGTCTCTGTTTCCGACTTCCCACCTCCCTCTCCCCCCAAACACCCCTGAACCCTAAACCCTAAACCCATAAACCTCTAAACCCTAAACCCCTAAAACCCTCAACCCTAAAACCCTAAACCCTAAACCCCTAAACCCTCAACCTTAAAACCCTAAACCCCTCAACCCTAAACCCTAAAACCCTAAATCCTCACCTGGGGGACTCCCCCACCCACCCGCTTCCTGCCTTGCCGTAGAAGATGCCCTTGAGCAGTATAGTCCTTCAGCACAACATGAGCTAAGGGCTTAGGGTTTAGGGTCTAGGGTTTAGTGTTTAGGGTTTATTTAGGCCACCCCGTAACAGTCTATAGTAGGGATCCCATTAAGGGCTATATATAACCATATTCTATTTATGATCCAACCGTTACTGAGGGGGGGCAGTATTCAAGCTATAGTCTATCCTCCTTAAATTAAAGGGGGCTATCAAAGGGTTTAGAGTTTAGTGTCCAAACTTCTTCAAGGGCGTTATTTGGGGGATTGTATAAAGGACTCTAATGAGGTTGTCACTCACCCTTGAACACCAGTACGTGGACTCCGAGCCGCGATCTCGAACACCAGAGCCTTGTCAATCTTGAGACCAACCGAAAACCTAAAACCTACATTAGGGTTTCTCAAAACAGGGGCATTCTCGGGGGACCTTAGGGCTATACAAGGAATGCAAAGGGATATTGGGCTACCCCTGATGGATTGTAGGGACTGCGTGCGGTAAAACACTAGTCCCTAAACTCGGGCCCTGAATCCCAAACTACACCCTTATACCCCCCCAAATTCCCCCTAAACTCCTGGGAGCTTTGGCGCCCATGTCGGTGTCGGAGGGCTGCTTGGACACGAAGACGCCGCCGATCTCACCGAGCTCCTGGTTCACCTGCTGCGCTGAGCCCTCGCATGAGTTACAGTCCATATTTCCTGCATAATTCTAGGGTTTAGGGCTTGAAGTCTATTTCCTACATAATTTTAAGGGTTCAAGGTTTAGGGTTCGCTGCATATTGCTACATAATTTTACGGTTTGGGGTTTAAAGTTTAGGCTATATTTCCTTCATAATTCATGGACATGGGGTCCTTATCAGGGACTAGATTTGGGACTATTCTAAACTATCACAGGGACCCCTATGTCCACCCTTGATGGCCCCTCAGTAAGCCAAATATCACAGTATCTCACACAGGGATTCACATGTGGGTTCCCAAATGTTAGGGCCCTTCTTTGGGTATAAGGATTGTAGTCGTCTGTTCAAGTCTACCCTGTTTATGGCAACATAATTACCACCATATTATGTTGAGAGTCGGGGTTAACACCCTAAACCCTAATCTTATGAATGGCATTCGCGATGTTTATTTGGCTTTTGCAAGGGCTCTAGAGTTGAGATGCCGAGAAGTGTCTACTGCTGAGAAGGCTGCAAGTTGTTCAGGGTTCAGGGTCAAGGTTGGCATGCGCCTTATTTGGGGTTTAGGGTTTAGGGTACCCATGTCCAGAAACCCTGAGTATTTGCTTTGAAGGTTTCTTTAGGACAACCATGAGGCTTGTAGAAGCGTTAAACTCGTGGTGGTCCTCCTGGCTTCTGACAACTCAGGGGTTGACAGGACTGGGTTTAGGATTTAGGGATTAGGGTTTCGGGTCTAGAGTGAACCCTAAACCCTAAATAGTAGTTTCCTTTTTCTTTTCCATTATCTCAATATAACCCCAATATATACCCTATTACGTACCAGTTTCCATTTTCTTTTCCATTATTACGATATGCCACATATTGGCCAAGAAAGTTGATGGATCCCCGTAAGCCCCAAACCCTACAATGTCTGGCCCATGCCCCGCCGGTGTTTGAAACAAAGAGCTCTGGCAATGACCCAATCACGACTCTGGGTTTGGGCAATAGAGTTTAGGGTATAGAGTTTAGGGTTTGGGGTTTAGCGTTTGGGGCTTCAAAGTGAAGAGTCCCTACATGTCAAAGCTCAACAGAGGATCGTTATGTCATGCAGGGCTGAAAAATTGGAATAGGGCTTTGGGAGTATGTTCTACTAGAGTTAAATAAGGATCAGATCAAAACAATCGTCCAATCCTTGAGATTTTTATGTGGTTTTGCTTTTTCTTCTTCTGCAGGTTGGGGAGTTCCCCAAAATTATCCCTATGTAATCCCCCGCCCTTTACGTCCGCGATTTTTTCTTATCCCGAACCCCTGGCTGCTGGAAATTTCGTTCTAGAATATGCTCCACCCTAAGCCCTAGACGCTAAAGCTGAGGGTTTAGGAGGGCGCAAAGAACGACAGGTGACACATGACCTCCAAGCCATAACTTCCAGAGTTTTAACTGAAACGCAGGCTGAAACTTCCGCCTTTTAGAGTTTTTGGCCTCAGGGCTTACGGCTTAAGGCTGAGGGCTCATTGTCTGCTTGTTTGCTTGTGGGGTAGGGTGCAACCCTAAACCCTAAAACCCTAAACCCTAAAACCCTAAACCCATGTCCTAGGCTGCAAAATTACTGTCAGGAACTTCTGGGAGCCTGGGATGCTTGTCGTTTTTCGGAGGCACATCAAAACATCAACCAAAATCTCAAAATACCGTTTAAGGGTTTAGGGTTTAGGGGTTTAGGGTTTAAGTGTTTAGGGTTGCAATCATTTCTGCCCAGCAGCGTAGAGCATTTTGCAGCTTGAAACCCTTATAGGCAATTTCATATTGGGGGCTCATGCAGGGTTTAGGGGTTAGGGTTTGAGGGTTAGGGTTCAGGGTTTAGGGGTTAAGGTTTAGGGTTCAGAGGTTCGGGTTCAGGGCTTAGGGGTTAGGGAAGGGGTTAGGATTTAGGGTTCTGGGTTTAGAGGTTACGGTTGGGGGTTTAGGGGTTAGGGCTTAGGGGTCTGAAGACCAAGAGGACATACCCTCTTGAACCTACCGTCTGAACCTGACGTACTATTTACTATTGCTATCTAAGGATTGTGCTAATCTTGCTCTCAAGAAAAATGAAATCATCAATCTGCAAATCCTCGATCCATGGCCCAGCCTTGTTGACCTCCATCTCAATGACACCCTTGCCGATGTCGAACACCTTGTTGGTCTCCTGGCCATCATACTTGTGACTAGTAATCTCATTGCGCTTCAGCTCTGCTTGTGGGGTTATAGTGGGTTTCAGGTGAAGCGTCGACAAGTTCATGGAGCTGCGACATGCGGCACAGTCTCCTTGAAGAGCTCCTCCTGGCCACCCTGGCCATCGGACTGCATGGCCGGCAGGGCCACGGCCTGGTCGTAACCGAGGTACATACCTCGGCCCTTAGGGTCAAGGAAACCACCCGTTCGGTAGGAGGGCACAGTGAACTCGCCGCCCCAGGTGAAGCCCGGCTTGAAGGAGCTGCCCTCGCCCTTGGCCACGAGCTCCTTGACAGTGAAGAGGAAGGGCACGTACTCGCCGTCTGGCAACTTCACGGTGGTGGCTGCGAAGTCCATGCCGTCCTGCTCCTTGAAGG